GCTGAATTCCCTAAGGTGCATATACTTAACGGTAGGCAGGATTCAACCCTTACACCCAAATTGTAATGCCTTCACTCTGTATTTATTCAGTCCTTACTCAACCAAATCTGCCACTGGCTTCAGTGCAGGTTCTGCTTGGGTAATATTGGAGAGCATATTTGCTGGGGGCATTTCCTGGTTGTCCAAAGAGAACTAAGCACACATCCAGAAAAGTGGCTCTAAGTCATCCTTGCATTACTCAGATCCTGCAGCCTTGAGGAGCCCTCAAACAATTTACTCCTCCAAGGGGTCATGAAGGCACCCAGACAGTATTCAGATTCAGCATTGCTGCGGCAGCTGTACTGCCTCTCTACTAGCCCTGGCTTCCCTCCAGGAGAGGGGACTCCACTAGCCCGATTCTCCAACGGGGCTTTGAACTACCCGAGTGACTGACAGAGCCAGAGCAATTGTGCAAATTGAGGTTTTTGTCTGTAAAGCTTTTTATGCTTCTGGTCTCTCTTAGTTTAGCAGAGGGATGCAGACAAATATCGCATTTGTGCTGCAGTATTTCATAAATGCTGGATTATTGTTTTCTCCTCTTTGATTTGGGCATCCTAAATCTGATTGCATTTTGGAGCCAATCCTGCAGAGCACTGAGTAGAGCTTTGAGGGTACTGAGCACCTCTCAGATCAGGTCCTTATATGCTGGACTCCCCTTTTTAGTATGATTTTTGATGAGACATTTGTTTGCCTGATCCCCTTTCTTGTTTTTAATCTGTTCTGCAGACTCCCCTCTGTGTGCTAATTCTGTGCCTTGTAAAGAGTCTGTTGATTATTTTATTATGGCAAAAGGCCACAAAATATGGAATTGCCTCTCTATAGACACAAAATAGCCAATCTTTGGTTTGTGTATAGCAGGCTGGTTGGCAAAGGCTTGCAGCAGATTGCACACTCCAGGCTAGAGGAGTCTCCAGGCTTGTAGGGGATGACAGCCAGCTGCAGGCAGTCAGGAGTGATTGCAGGCTGTCTAGGAGAACTGGATCAGCTACAGTGGATGATTAGCTGGCTACAGGAAGTTAAAGACTTCAGGAAGTTATTGATGAAGTTATTGACGATTAGCTGGCTACTTATTCAGGAAGTTTTTGATGATTAGCTGTCTACAGGAAGCTAAACGAAGAGGATCCCAGGGGTGGAGACTGAGAGAAGGTGTTTGGCTAGTGGTGGCAGAACTGAGCCAAGGATTCTCTCATGGTCTGGCAAAAGACCCAGAGCTGTAAGGTTGGTGGCAACAGCACCACAAGAGCAGAAGAGGGACCTTGCACAGGAGAGAGAAGGAAGACTGCACTGGTGTGCTGGGGGAACAGAATGAAGCTGGCAGCACCTTCTTGATGTATAGCAAGAGACCTTAGGACTGTGAGTTGCCCTGTATGGACTATGTCTATGGGTGTGTTTTGAGGACTGGTTTATGTTGATCCCTGTGTGGCAAGGGTGCCCAGGAATAAACATACAGTGGGAGAGGTGTAAATTGACCAGCTGAGCTGAGCAAAATCCTTGAGCCCACTATGGTGCAATTCATACAGTGTGCCTGTTATGAACTACAAGCACATATGCAGTCAGTTCCTGAAACTTACTATAATTTGATGCTTAGTGTCAACTAAAAGGCTAGGATACACTGTAACTACCATTACCCTGTCTACTAGACCCCACATTGGACCCTCATCAATTTTCTGACTTTTCTTTACACTCTAGTGATCAGCAAATTTGGAATTAGTCAGCGCAGGAATGAACTGATGATTCTCAGCTGGGTCATGAAAGGAGATGAGTCTGGTGGTGTCGCCCAATTACAAAACTACCAACAATTGGCATGTTTCAGCCCCAAACACTCTGACCAGGAGTAGAAAAGGGACTGCTGGTCAGGACTGGGTTGGATATACCACGATGGGAAAACACTAGACAGTCAGAAGCAGTGGTAGTGGGTGGGAACTCGGTGCTGGACAAGGCTGAGTGTTCCTTGTGAGCATAGAGATACAAAAAGCCTTTGACCAGCTTTCTCCAAAACTATCTTCATTCTAAGGGGTGCCTGGCACCCACCTGACTGTCCTTGCCTTGGTGTTTTCTTCAGTGAACTTGTGCCCTTCTGTTGCTCTTCTGCATTGTTGGGAAAGGTAGTCATTCAGATCATAAGTTCTTTTCTATTTCCCCTGGGGCTTTCAGTTGAGCCCAGTTTTGCTATGCCTGCTTCAGGCTTTTGCTCTCAGGCCTCCCCTATTATGACTCCCAGCAGAAATACCTGGCAGAATAAGGTCTGATCTCTGACTCTGCTCGGAGAAGCCCATTTCCAAGAACAAACTGGCCAGTCAGTGGTATTTTCAAAGTAGCAAAGATAAAGAGCTAGCTTCAGATTGAAAAAATTTAAGAGTTGCTGTCCAGATCAAAGCAGATTACTCCTTGCCACTAAGAAAATGAAGGAGAAAAGCAGAGGTGAGCAGAACACCCTCAGAACAACAAATACCCATCCTGCCATGTAATCTTGCTAAGGCAGAGGCTGCATTCCAAGTTGTTCAGTTTTAAGTGGAATAAAATCCTGTGCCAAATCGTATCAGTACCAGTAAGTGATGCATGGGCTGAACAAAGTTTCCGTTTCTACAAAAGATAGGTGTAGGTATCAGGGATGTCTGTTTCTGTTGCTGATGAAGCAAACGTCTCAAAGGAAAATTTGGCACAAGAGGAGAGAACAGGTTTAAATGTGAAATAAAATACATTAAATTAGCTACAAGGGTCCCAGCACAACATTAACTGAGGCTACACTGGTAGTGAGAGCCTAGACTATACCTGTCAGTCAACTATGTTGTGAAGCCCTGAGCTTGACCCCTGCTGGCTGTTCAGCTCAAGATGGTTATAGAAGTTTTCTGAGGCTGACCCTGGTCTGCTTACCTTTCTGCTTTGTACCTTTCTTACAGTGTGTTTGAAGCTCACCCTAACATGCAGGCTCTCAACAGCAATCCCATAATTCCCTGCTCTTGATTTCTGGCCTTTCCAAAGCCTCTCCCTATCTCCGTTGTTCATAAATAGAAACAGATGTGAAAAGGAAGAGAAGTATACTTCAGACCAATCCATAGAAGGGCTCTGCAAGAGAACCTGGGATACATAGTAGTGCCACACTGAAAAAATAAGCAGCACAATGTGGAGGCTTGGATGCAGGATTCAAAGTGTGATATAGAAAGGAAGAGAGATGACTTATAGAGCTCAGGCTGATTGAGGATGACCTCAAGTTCAACCCTAAGTATCAGGGCAGATATACCCAGACTCTCTCAACCCTGTGTCAATCAACTGATTTAGAGAGTGCATTGGAGCAAACTAAGAAAATGGTTCTATACTTACTTGGATTGACTAATGCTACCATGCCAGGCAAATGTAAAAGAGTGTCTACGGTAAGTACTGGACAGAGTACCAGATGCTGCTTGGGGACAGGAAGAGAGACAAGCCCCTCCACTCATACAGTGAGCAGTGGTGGAGCAGTTACAGGAAGTTGGTCCTGACTATCTCTTGCTGGACCACAAGGCACTTCAGGACTCAGAATTGTCAAGCCAGCACTGAATTCACTGTACAAAGATGCCCAAAGTTCAGTGAGAGGCAAGAAGTTTTGGGGGTGGCATCATTTATTGGACCAAGTGCACCATTGAAATTAGATTATAAACAAGCTTTTGGGCACAAGGTACCTTCAGGTATGAAAAATGTCTGCTGCCCATACAAAATATAACCCTTCTGCTAGGCACTGGACAACAGGAACAAGATCTGCATTCACATTTTTTACACAAATTTTCCATCTTGGCTCAAGCCCTCACCAAAAAACTTGGGAAAATAAATGTTACCTGGGTATTTCAATTTGAACAATATAAGGAATAATATCTTGTGCCCAAAAGCTTGTTTAAAACATCTACCACCTACACAGTCATTTCAATAATAGATATTACCCCCCAAAATCCTTGTGTCTTGCATGTTTCCTGGACCATCATGCCTACACCAACACTCCAACACTACCAAAGTTCAGTGAACATTTCAAAGCCCCAAACAGGAGGCGATGAATAGGGATGTGCGTTGATGCTTATGGCATTGTAACTATTTTACCCAACACTACTTAACCTGCTTAGACAATATGCAATTTGCACGAAGTACTGCAATTACTTTTTTGTTGTAAGTAAATTCTGTGTCAGTCAACAATACTTTTTCAGGTTCAATTTTAGGAAAAACAGCTTGTTCCCTAAATATAAGATAAATAACTGCAGATAAAACTCTTAACTTGGCAGTGCCCTTACAAAATCCCCCAGGAGAAACGAGTCACCAAGGAAAGGACTGTAAGGGTTAAATTCATAAAAACTTAGAAGGCAGCCAGAGACATACTCTATACTGAAGATAACTTTGTCCAAAGCTTGCAATAATGCCTTCAGCTGAAAATTCCATGGCAATGTGTATCAAGGCAAATATTTTTACTTAAATAAAAACAGTTTACATGTTTAAACAATCTGTAGTAAAAGGACAGATTTAATTGCATTTCCAGATTCATTCTTCATATGACAAATAAAGCCAAGGCCTGGAGACAAACAGCCTTTGCTTTAAGGATTCAAAATTGAAATTTTCTTACTTTTTGAAGGGTGTGGGAAGGAAAAATAGATGTTGTATTTATAGCCTTGTATGTGCAGGTGTCAAGTCAGATTTATCCTTCCTCAAAGTGTGAGCAAAGTGCATTGGGAAGAATGAGACATACTGTTGTCTTCTGCGTTTTTTAATTTTAATCTCAGGCAGTTTTTAGTTTAGTGATAAAAATGTTCAGGATATGTAGTCTTTTCCAAATAATAAATGCATGATTAATTGTAAAAATATTCATACACACTTAAATGGGTGTTTCTCAATCTTTTTTAGTATTAAGGCATCCCGAGGTTCCCCTCAGAAAATGCCAGCACTTGGTTTTCATTTGTTTTTTGGCTACAGAAAAAATAATAGAACAATTCTTCTGTTGCAAAGAATGCAGAAAGTCTTCAAAAGGGAAGACTGTTTTAATACTGTGAATTTGTAATTGAAATCTCTGGGTTTATCATGTGAATCATGCCTGTACACCTAACGGTACTAAGATTTCATGGCACCCCATGACACCCTTGAAAGGATCTCAAGGCACCGTAGGGTGCCACAGCATCTTCATTGAGAATCACTGGCTGGATGGCTGCTCACCAGCAGTGAAGTTCATAAGTTGTCTGATTTTGGAAGTGTTGCATCTGGTAATGAAAAGATCTACCTGTGTCACTTTAAACATCCTTTCACTTTCTGACAAAACTCCCTCTGGTCCCTGAGGTGGCGTGCTTTGAAAAGCAGGTCATATTTCCCTAAAAATGTATTTATGCCAGAGCCCTTTGGGGTTTAAAGGTAATAACCTCCCAGGCTTTTTCAGAGTTTCCAAAAAAGCACTGCCCCTGTTTCTTTAATCACTTTCTGTTTATCGCACAGTGACGCCAGCTTAAAAGATGCTCTTTCTGACTCGGACTCTGACATGGGCAGCACTGAGCAGCTAGACCATGGCAGCACAGACACATTAGCAAATGGCTGCAAGGCAGATAATGAAGCTGCCAAGAGACTCGCCAAACGCCTCTATAACCTCGAAGGATTCAAGCGCTGTGATGTTGCACGCCAACTTGGGAAAAAGTAAGTGACCTGAGCCCAAAGCAGTCATTGGAAGACATGAGTTCCAGGAGATAATGCACAATTATTGATTTTGATTAACAGATTTGAACTTGTAGCCTGAGTGAATGTAAACTTAATACATGGGAGAATGAAAGTGCAGATGGCTTCACTGCTTGGAACAGGATAAGGTAAAGGCAGAAATGATTTCTTAAAGGATTCATTCTTTTAGGCAGTGCCGGATTTAGGCTTAAGCTACATCTTAAAGTGACATGGATGAGGGAGTGAAGTGTACTCTGTCCAAGTTTGCAGATGACACAAAACTGTGGGGAGAAGTGGACACACCGGAGGGCAGGGAACAACTACAGGCACACCTAGACAGGTTGGACAAATGGGCAGAAAACAATAGAATGCGATTTAACAAGGAGAAATGCAAAGTGCTGCACCTAGGGAGGACAGATGTCCAGCACACCTACTGCCTAGGAAATGACCTGATCGGCAGCACAGAAGCGGAAAGGAATCTCGGAGTCCTAGTGGACTCCAAGATGAATATGAGTCATCAGTTTGACGAAGTCATCAGCAAAGCTAACGGCACTTTATTGTGCATCAGCAGATGCATGACAAACAGAACCAAGGAGGTGATACTTCCTCTCTATCGGGCGCTGGTCAGACCGCAGTTGGAATATTGCATCCAGTTTTGGGTGCCACACTTTAAGAGGGATGTGGATAACCTGGAGAGGGTCCAGAGAAGGGCCATTCGTATGGTTAAGGGCTTGCAGGCCAAGCCCTACGAGGAGAGACTAGGGCACATCGACCTCTTCAGCCTCCGCAAGAGAAGGTTGAGAGGAGACCTTGTGGCTGCCTATAAGTTTATCACGGGGGCACAGAAGGGAATTGGTGAGGTTTTACTCACCAAGGCGCCCCTGGGGGTTACAAGAATAGGCATCTGGCTGGGGTCATCTGAACCCAGCACACTTTCCTGCCTATGCAGGGGGTTGGACTTGATGATCTATTGAGGTCCCTTCTGACCCCAACATCTATGAATCTTAGTATGGCACAATATGAGGGGATTCTAAATAAGAAAAAAAAATGACTCAATATCAAGTTTTATAATAATCAGTTGGTAAATAAAGGAGATATGGGAAAATGACTCTCCAAATATGGACATTTTCATTCTAATATGACAAAAATATACATACATTGGATTATTTTTATTGTACGGGGCCCTTTAAGCTGGACATAGTTTAGGGCCTCAGCATGTCATAATCTGGCACTGCTTTTAGAGACCTTTTGGGCTTGCTTTAGAGTCAGTTCCAGTAAGGAGTTTTGAAATACTTTCAAATAAAAAGCAGTTTATGAAGTCAACATCTGTCCAAACACCTAAATCCAAGCTCTTCAAGTCTTGGGGATGTTCGAGTCTAGAGGAGGATCAGAATGGGAATTTCACAGATAATCATTCATAAACACCTTTATGTCCTTACCCCATGATCAAAGGCCCTTGCCTCTAGGTAAGCCCAAACAAGACCACTGTAATGAACAAGGGTCTAGTTATATTTTGAAATGCATATCTGGACTTAAAGTTACACTGAAATTTGTTGTAAACTACCACCAAGGAACAGAGAAAAACTGGTTGCTTTGGAGAGATGGTGGTAGGGCAGAAACCAGCAAAACTCTCATCACTATTAATTTCATTGAATATCTTCAAGCAACTTAGTCCAGGACAGATCTCAGGGACTCGGTTGTCCCTCCTAGAAAATTAACAGCAGGAGTTGGTGTTGAGGCTACAGGAAATACCATTTATGCTCAATACAGCTGCTGATGTACAAGGAGCACTGTTAACAATTTTCAGATGGAGAGCGGTAATCATTTATATTGTTCATCACTGTTCCACTTTCACTTTGTCTGTGCAATTCTGCTAAGCATTGCTTCTCATGCTATTTTCTGTAGTTGTTACTCTGTCATGACTGTCTCCCTTTTCCTTTCCTTACTCATGACTGTATCACTCACACTGAGATCATCAAAAGGGGTTGATTACAGTGTGAAGAGAAAGAACCAAACTCCGTGCACAACCTGCTTCTATTGTCCTGTCTCTTTGTATATCCAACTTTGGCATAAGGGCCAGCACAAAGTATAGCAGACAGTACTGGTCAGTAGGCCTGTGCGTAGTGGCTAATATTCACTTCAGATTTGGATTCAGCCGATTTGGGGGACAGTAATTCGATTCGGTGATTCAAATCATTCCCGAATCAATTCATCCAAATCTGATTCAGAGATTCGGCTGCTGCCAAATCTCCAAATCAGCCAGGCCCATCCCCCCCCAGCCTGGCAATGGCTGCCCCACCTGACTTAGCTCCCAGCTCTTTGGAGGAAAAAAGCCCTGGTTCACCAGGTGCTGCTGGATGCGGGGGTGTGATCCCCACTGCCCACGACTGCCCCACGCTGTCTGGGAGGCTCTGCACAAGTCCCCTAATCCCCGCCTTCGCTCCCCCAGCCACCCCATGGGTACCCCACCCAGGCCAACTCTGGCCGTTTAAGAAAGAAAAAAACCCGATAAAAGTCCCAGGACTCACCGCTCCTGCTGGGGGGGGGGGGGGGCAATCCCCACTGCCCCCCGCTGCCCTGCACCATGAGGAGGGCTCTGCATGAGACCCCCAAAGCCCTGCGGCTGCTGCAGGAGCAGTGAATCCCAGGGCTTTTCTCATTTTTTTTTTTTCTTAAAGGGTTGGAGCTGGCCCAGATGGGGCACCCATGGGGGGCCTAGGGGGCGGTCAGGGGGCTTGTGCAGAGCCCCCGATGCAGTGGGGGGCAGCAGGGATGCCCCCCACCCAGCAGCACCCAGTGAGCACTGGGGCTTTTCTTTAAAGCACCGGAAGCTAGGACGGGCAGGGGGGCGGAGGAGCGGAGGGGCTGGCAGGGGGCCTCCCATGGTCCCCTGCCCCTAGTCCTTACCAGCTCGGAGTCAGCTGCAGCTCCCTGCTGCAACCACTGGGGATTGCCTGAATCATCAAAGCTCTCTGAATCTTTTCTGAAGATTTGGAGAGCTTTGTATCAATTTGGGCCTTTTAATTGGTCCCCTGATTCGATTCGGATTCAGAGATTCGACCACCAAATTGGGCCAAATCTCCTCTGAATCGAATCACCACCGGAAGTTTCGGACAGCCCAATTGGTCAGGTGTTCAATTAGATAAGTGGATCTCTCCCCTTAAAATGCAGAAAACTACCATTGATATATATACAAGCCCTTTAAAGAGCTGCACTGCAGGCAGGTATATGGAAGGTTTTCAGTTTTTGCCAAGCTAAAAACTAAAAATATTTTGCTTTGAGTTGAACCAAATTAAAAATTCTTTACTGGCAAAATAAAATACTTCATCGTGTTTTCAGGTTTCTAAATCCATTTTACTCCCGTTCTGTTTTAAATTTGGGAATTTACTAAAGAAAGGCATCATTCTAAAATGAAAAGTCAAAGCGCTTCACTTAGAAAATGTGAAAACCAAGGGCCAGATTCCATTCTATTAGGTGTCTAAGTAGACTTAGCTGCCTAAGTGCGGTTTCTACTCCAACCTGTCCAAATCCCTGAAAATCTATTACTATG